TATCAGCTTTATCTCAGTCACATCTGAACTGCCTGCCACCATTGCCATAGCCTTTCTCTGTTTAAGCAGGGTTGAAAATTGAAACACAAGCTTTTGTTACATGTCAAAACATTAAATGAAAGAGGATTAAAAGGTGACAAAATTAAACTCAGTGCAAAGTTTAAAGACAAAAATAAAATGTTTTCCTTCAACTGACTTACCTGAAAATAGGTCTTGATAGATGAAAAGTGTAGTGCAGTAGGCATTTAAAAGGTCCTAGCTATTCCCCAAACAACTTCAGTTCATGTAAAGCCCCTAAAACACACACGGTGTGTTTTGCTTTTACATAATCTTATGCAGATAATAATTACATGATTCACATACCTGAACTGGCAGAAATGCCATCCACTGATGCCAAACTAAAATTTTTGCCCCTCTGGCCAAAATTTCATTTGGACCTATTCTCAATGCAACAGGAAATGGAGGCAGTGGAACTGCTAAAAACTTGTCACATGTAATTGTAAATATGCAGGTTATTTATGCAAGTATAGGTTTGGCATAGGCACTAGACCTTTAACTTAGGAAACACACTTGGTCAGAAAACTTACCTGCTCAGTAAAAACCCCACAGATCACCAACTCACTCAAGTGCTCCAGAGCTAAATGCAGTCAGCGGAGAATATTGAAGCTAGTACGAGAAACCAAGAGAGAGCAGCAGAAAATGAACCAGGCAAACACTACTAGAGCCAGGAAGTTTCTGATGAGTGGTTAAGGATACAAAAGATGGGATCCATTATTTAGACAAGCATGTCCCACAGGAACAACTCAGGAGGTGATAGAGAGCTCTCAAGCAATGGAGTTGCAATCTTGTCTCTCATGTGTCCCTTAAATGCTGGAGGTCTAAATGGAAAAACTTTCAAGATAGCATATAAAAATTGTCAATATATGGCATTTGCAATGGGATATGCAGTCATCCACCTCTAATCTGCTTCTTCAAAGAAATTCTACTCAGTACGACCACCAAGGCTGCCTGGAGACCACCGAGTGAACTTTGAGAAATACTTTTTTCTTTTCTTTGTGAGTGGACAGTTGCCTCATTTCCAGATAAGAGTCCCAACAGCACAGTCCTCAGTGGCAGCAAAAGCAGAAAGTGCTGAAGGGAGCAGCGTCTCCCTGGAGATATGCACTTCTGCCCTGGAGCAAGCACTGATTGCAGAGTGCCAGTGCTCCCCAGGACATGCTTTTCTGAAGGCAGACAGGGAACACCAATTTGTCGGAGTGTTCAACAAAACACCTCTCAGAAGTCCTGACTTTGTGTAAGCAATGGTAAAATGACAATTTTTTAAAACGTCTTTAACAGAAGTCTTGATTGGAATGAAACATCCATTAATCCACATCCTTGTATCAATGTAAAATCTGGCAACTATCGCTTCTTATTCTATTAAGCCACAAAACCCGTTTAACCTTGCTCTATTATTGTCTTATCTATGAGCAGCTAATTTCTGCCAGGTTGGCTCAACTAATCAACTTATGTTGCTATGATTCTGAAATTTAAAAAAAAAATCTGTTACACAACCAGAGCAGAAATAAAAACACTCGAGCAGCTGAAAGAGCAGAGCTGAATAAGAAGTGCTACAAAAAAGGAGCAGATTTAGGAATAATGAGGTCACCTCACACCTCAACACACATGAAGTTATTCTGTTCACTCAAATAACTTCATGTACAGTAATAGTCACAGCACAAAATACCACACCATTTTAAAGAGACAGAAGCATTTTCAATACCTTGGCTAATTAGAAAAAAAATTAACACAGAACAATACCATCATGTGTTCCTCTTCCAGCTTTCTCCTGGCTTTACAGATGAAGACAGAATTAAGCAGGGTGGAAAATGTTCCCTCCCTCTTCAGCTCCTCTAAGTGAGAGACCCCTAATCTGGGCATGTGGTTGCAGCTGCAGAGCATCAAGCAATTGTGTCATTTCTGGTGCATTAGAAGCATCTTGTACCTGCTCAAGCACTCAGATGCTGCTGCGGTGGCAGCATGAAAGATCTCTTTCTCACCAGGTATTTTGGCTTTTCAGCCTGTCTTATTCCAGGTACCTGCAGTTTGTTCTTTACTTAGCAAGGAAAAGACGTAGTATTAGCTTCCCTCCAAACTGTCAAGTCAAACAAACCAAAATTCAGAGCCATGAGGTCTGGCAATGCCAGTGTTAAGGTTCCCTGGGAGTGGGGAGGAGGGGAGGACCAGTGGGAGGCAGGAAGGCAAACAGAAATATGTTCAAGTGACCGAAAATGAATGAACAACTGACAAGTAGACAAGAAAGGAAAATTATTAGACCACTCTGACTCTTCATTGTATTGGTGATATCTGTGCAGCCAAGAGCTGGGAGTTTTGTGTTGGTTTTTGGGGTTTTTTTGTTTTTTAAAAAGCAAACCTAGAGAGCATGATTTTTTTCATATAGAGAGGAGTACAGCAGTCAATATCTAATAAAAGAAAGTTCTAGATGTCAAAATTGTTCAAAATGCATGACTGCCTACTGAGCTAAAGCATGATATTGCTATCCCTAAAAGGGAGTTGGTATCTAAGCAAATACAGATTGGAATCACTGACTCATCCACCCTGGGCCTTTAAGGCAAACTGATGAAAAATGAAGGGTTGACAGAAGGAAAAGAGGGGGGAGGAAAATAAGGAGGCAGAGGGAATTTGAACAAGATTAGCTACGTGTGAATCCTAAATAAAGATTAAAATCAATGCCTAATGGATTTTGGGATTTCTGAAGTCAAGGTAAAGAAATTAGGAGAAAACTGGCAGTTCATAAGCTTCTATGATGACTTTTATTGGGACAACTTTCAGCAGTATTTTAAGCTTTAACAGTTACAATTGCATCCTTCTTCCAAACTTCTTAAAAACATAAGGAGAATCTGGCATTTAGTGCAGGCATCTAAAAATCACCATTCCCATTCCATAATTAGCTCAGCCACCTATTTTAATACAAACATAAAGTCTTTCTCCAATTTCTACTGTTTGTACATCCTGCTGCTGCCAATAGAGTCAAGCACTCATAAGAAAGGTGAATAGCCTGGGTCTATTCTGTTGCACTAATATGATAAACATCATTGATGGAATGATCTTAAATGATCTTGTTGATCTAGCTTTTAGTTAGTTGATATAGATTAAAATCTTTAAAGCCAGAGAAAACACTATGAACTTCTGCTTCTGTAACTAGTGCTCAACATAAGTCAGATTCCTTTGCAGATTAAGAGGCATTTCAGTCTTCTTAGGAAATGTTTTATACTTTTTAGAATTAAGATTTCTGTAAGAAAGTTCATTATGTCTTCATTCATACATATTCTTACTCTCTCTCAATGGACTGAATTGTAGACTTGTCCATTTACAACTTCATATAGACATCACAAAGGCTATATAAATTTCCCTTATGTATTTACTATGAATTACAAGTTATTAAGCTGTAGGTGATGAGGAGTGCCTTTCATTTTCATGTGACAATCTTTGAAAATTTACTTTCTGGTCTGTTAATTTTAAAGTTGCTGAGTCAGTTCCCTTGGAAAGGTGCTAGCTTCCATGATGGCAGCCTATTTAATCACTTCAGCAGAAGTAAAATATATAGATGGTATTGTTTACACTAATGATGTCTACAACTAAGATACCAACACCCCAACCGAAGGATTCAGTTTAATTTATCCTTAAGCACCTTCCGGAACTGGAATCTAAAAGAATTTTGTTCTTTATGATCTTATTTTCCATAATTCCTTCCTATGTTTCTATCACTGGAGATTTCCTTATTGCAGCTTTCTTTCTATACCTTAACAGAGGAAATCCTGTAAGTTTGGGAATAGAAAAGATTATATTTTGAATCCTTAAAGATAGTTTCATCTTTCAGTACTAAACTCTGATTTTTATGTGAGGCTGTAGAAGAATGAAAGGAGTACAGTTGTTTGGGAGTCTCCAAGTGTTTTCTAGGACAAACTGTGTCCAGAGAAAGTTTAGATTCAGCATCAGAGAAAGTTCCTCAATAGAGTATATTAAACAACTGGACACATACAAGAAATGCAAAAACATTCACTTTAACAAGGTACTCAGAAATATCATGAAATTAACAGTCTTACTGTTAATTACTGTAGAAAGAGGAAAGACAAGGTAAGCTGAATACTTCTACATTGCTTCTTAGAGGCAGTTTCTAGGACTCTCTTATTCACCAAATACTAGAATTAACCTGAACATTTCTACCGCTTGAAATAATGGGGGCAAAAAAAGAAAAAAAGAAAGGGAAGTAAGGAAGAAAACACTAAATCAATTCCTGATCTAAAATCCTGTAACCTAGAAGCCCTATACAAATACTATAGACCAAGCAATCAGATATGCTCCAGACTATGTAAGCAAGACACTGGGTGAGCCACTGGCAGTAAGAAGGAACTGCAAGACCAGCCCAGTCAAATCTACATTTTTCAGTCACAAGCAGATTCCTTGCAGTAATTTATGAGGAAGGAAGTTTCCTCTGTTAATAAACTGAAAATGTGTTCTGTCTCTTTAATTTAGAACCGAAACCCCAGTTTATTTTTACAGTACCTGAATCGTCAGTAACCAGTACCTCGGAGTGAACATTTTGATTAGCATCACTTTCAGCTGCAGCCATGGTTTTTTTGTGGGTGGGGTTTTTTCGGGTTTGTTTGGTTTTTTTTTTTTTCAAATGTTACTGAAACAAGAAGTATAGCACAACACATTTATATAACCACTGAGATTCTGAAATCAAACACGAGGTTAAACTTCCTTTATCTTTAGGTAATCATTAATGCCCTAAAATGTATTACATTTTAGGCTGATTTGGAACTACGCAGTAGCACTATTGTAAAGGCACAACAGTCATTACATTACATAAAAATGGAAACAACTACTAATATTGTATATTTATTTAATAAGTTCTTTAAATAATATTTTCAGCACTTCTATTTAACACAATAAACAAAAAGTGTCATACATACACACTAAATTAGACAGTTTATAGTGTTAAAGAGTATTATAGTAGAAGCACTGTATTAGCTATCTGCATGTTGCAGAAGCACAAGGAAATCTTTTTACAGGATATTTTTTTCTTCTGACTACATAATCTAGTTGTATGTTTTACATATTCTAAGTTTCACCAAGGAATAAACACCTACATTTATGGGCTCAATAAAATAAAAAGGCTCAATAGGCACTTTTACTGCCTATGTTATATAGGAGCATTATAATGGTGCATTATATCTTCCAGGTCTAAAAATATGGCAGCCATTAAAAATTACAGCATTTGTCCGTCT